CCCCCCCCCCCCCCCCGCCGCCCCGTGCAGGCTAACCTCGTGCACGCAGCGGAACAGCTCCCAGTGGAAGGCCGTCAGATGGTTGGCAACATCCTCCGGCTCCACTCGGTGGATCTCTGTGTCTCCTGGGGATACCTGGATCTCCTCAGGGAGGGGCACCTGGGGGCAGTAGGGAAGGGTGAGGGCCCTGCTCCCAGCCATGGCCTTGTGAAAGCTTTTCTTTTGAGACAGTCTCACTCTGCAGCCTCGGCTGGCTGCAGAAATCCTCCTGCCTCAGCCTCCCAAGTGCTGAGATTACAGTTGTGTCCATCATACCCAGCAGGGAAGTGTTCTTACCAAGGCCTCATAGCTGTCCCGGGTACAGGCAAACAGGTGGCTGTTGATGCCTAGTGTGGTGAAGACGCAGTCTTCATTGGGCTGTAGCAGGACCTTCTCTGCAGAAGAACAGGGCTCAGCCTGGCCCTGACCCCGTGTGTCCTGCACACCCCAGCTGCAACCTCCATCCCCATGAGGACGCTCCTAACCCAACACAGGCATATTCTAGACTAATGAGGCTCCTGTTTCCACCCTTCCTTGTTTTGTTTTGTTTTATGAGACAAGGTTTCGCTATGTAGCCCAGGCTGGCTTCACACTCGAAGAGATCCTCCTGCCTCAGCCTCCTGCTGGGATTACAGGTATGCACCACCAGACCCAATTTAGAATCCAGTTTTCATTTCTGCCCCCTCACCTCCCGAGGAGGCCACAGCTACCAGGATGAGGGCCTCCTCCCGGCCAGCAGGCTCCTCAGAGTACTGCAGCTTCTCGGTCACGGAGCCCAAGATGTCCTGCACGGACGCTGAGAGGCGGCTGCGTATGGTCACGTACGAGTGGTCGGGCATGTAGACCCGGCAGAAGACTGCAGGCAGGGCGGAGTGGCAGTGGGTGCAGGCCCCAGGGCGCCTGGGCCCCACACCACACGGCAGCTGGGCTGGGTGCAGGGGGAGCCCGTACCCCGCCCCAGGGCCCCCGATGCCCAGGCTCACTCTCATCCGAGCCGCGGAAGGCCACGCGGGTCTGCAGGCAGGAGTCGATGCGGCGGAAGTGGCGGAAGAGCGGCTTCACCTGCCTGCTGGGCGGCTGGCTCTCCTCGGGGGTCCTGGCACAGGCACAGCGGGCATCAGCGAGCACTGCCAGGCTCAGGGAGCACCAGGCAGCCAACAGGAAGCAGGGCCGCGGGACCTGGGTCGCGGGACCTGGGTCGCGGGTGCTCCGGCTCGTTTCAGAAGGGTTAGCAGAGAGAACAGTGACCCGTCCAATGCCATCACGCACCTTCTCTGACCCAGCTGCCGAGGTCACCTGCTAGCCTTTATTCATGGGATTTTATTATTTTTGTTTATTTATTGCAGGGGGCAGTACTTGGGGTTGAGCCCAGGGCCTCTGCACTGAGCTATATTCTTAGTGCATTTTAATTTATTTTATTTTATTTTTTTGGTGTGGTACTGGGAATCGAACTCAGGACCTTGCGCTTGCCAGGCAGACGTTTATGCCACTGAGTTATACCCTGGCCCATCTTTTTATTTTGAAACAGTAACTCATTAGGTCACCAAGTTGCCTAGGACGAGCTCAATCTTGGAATCTTTCTGCCTCAGCCTCCCAGAGTGCTGGGACTATAGTCTGGCTGTATGCCTATCTCTCCTAGCAGATGGACAGCCTCTGAGGACTGGGACTAGCTCTAACTGAAGTTTTATTTCCTCAGGGCCCAGCACCCTGCTCAGCACACAGTAGGTCAAAGGCCGCCAGATGTTAGTGACGTTGGCCAACCAGGACGTCTCACTCTGGGAGGCAGACAGATGTGCACACAGGCGAGAGGCACTGGTGATGCGACCAAGGTACAGGACAGTGATTCTGGCACTGGGAACAGAGCCATCTGTCCCTAGAGGAGGACTGCGGACACTTGCATGGAGAAGGTGGCACTTGATCTGGGACTTGAGAGAAAGAGGGAGAGAAAGAGGTGGGAGGAGGGTGTCCTGGGGACACAGAAAGCTGAGGAGCACAGAGGTGAGAGGCGGTGGCTGTATGTGGCGTGTCATGGATGGAGGGGACATGGGAAGGAAAGGGAAGGGTGTGGCTCACAGTGCAACAAGTTTGAGGCCAGCCTGAACTACATAGCAAAATCCGGTCTCAAAACACAAAACACAAAAGCCCAGCCAGGCATGGTGGTGCACACCTGTAATCCCAGTACTCAGGAGGCTGAGGCAGGAGGATTGCCACAAGTTTGAGGCCAGCCCAGGCTATATAGTGAGTTCAGGGGCAGCCTGATGTATACAGCGAGACCTTGTCTCAAAAAAAAAAACACAACAGGGCTGGGGATTTAGCTCAGCGGCACAGCACCTGCCTGGCAAGCGCAAGGTCGTGAGTTTGATTCCTGGTACCGGAAAAAAACAAAAAACAAAAACAAAAACAAAACACAACAAAAGAAAACAAAAAACACAGAAACCTCACAGTGACACCCAAAGACAGGAGGCAGCCTCAGTAACAGAGGAACTCAGGGTCCCAGACCCCTCCCGTCCCCCTCACTTCAATTCCGCCGTCTCCACGAGCTGGTGCAGCCTCAGCGTGTCCTCCCGGAGGTCCTGGTAGAGGGACTCATCCTTCATAATCAGCAGGTACAGGTCCTGGGAGGGGACACAGCCATGGTGAGGCCGGGGTCTCGGCCAGGGCAGGGCACAGAAGACCAGAGAAGCTCAGACGATGGGTGGCGTCTTCCACTTCTGGGTACCGGCTCAAGGACAGCAGCTCCTCCCCAGGGCCCCCTTCAGGGTGCGCGGCTGCCCGCCATGCCCCACCTTGATGATGTGGCCGGCGCCCTCTTCCTCCTGCAGCAGCCCCTGGTAGGTGTCCAGGAAGTGGAGGAGCATGGCTAGGCAGGCCTGCTTCCGGCCCAGCCCCTCCGGGTCCTCCAGGCCCCCTGCCCGAACAAAGCTGACCCCGAAGTTAAGGAAAAGCCTGAGGCAGGTGGGCAGACTGGAAGAAGCTGGGCGGGAGGCTACCGGAGGCTACATGACCCTCGGTTATTCTCTAGGCCAGCGACACAAGAGGTTCAGGAGTCCTGGGCCAGCCAAAGGGTTTCCCCAGAGCAGGTAACAATGGATCTGCTAGGCCACAGCCAGCTCCCACCTGGTAGGGTTGCACGGAGAATACACTGCCAGGGCTCCCCTAACCACAGCCAGCCCAGGGCGTGGAGCTCACGGTGAGACCCATGAACCCGACTTTACCTTGAGCGGGGCCTGACATTTCTAAGGCAGTCCATGGCATTTTTACTCAGTGGCCTCATGTTTACGACTGGGTTCTAAAATAACTCAATGAAGCTGGGCGTGGTAGCGCACACTTGCCATCCAGCACTCTAGAGGCTGAGGCAGGAAGGCTTGAGTTCGAGGCCAGCCTGGGCTACATAGTGAAACCCTGTCTCAAAATAATGAAAAAATGACTAACGAAATTAAAAAAACTCAGCACAAGGCTATGTGCTAGCGTGGGTTCCCAGGACAGGCCAGGCTCCCGACGACCCTTCTGACACACCCACACCCCGACGTGGGTGTCGCTCCCCATGTAACTCAGCGGGCACCTAGATGTTTACCGCCGTAACTTCTCGTGGAATAACAACCCCCTCTTCTGTACAGGTCCAGGTGCCACAGGGGCCCAGGGACTCGCACTCGCACAGTGACCTTCATGGCAGCCCACATGCAGCAGGGCATATGCCATTTTACAGGAGGAAATGAGGCCCCACACATCTGGGGAACAGAAAAGCTGGGTGTTTTCATTGTTGTTTTTTTTGTTGTTGTTATTTTTGAGACAGGGTCTCACTATGTAGTTTAGCCTGGCCTCAAACTCGAAACAATCCTCCTGCCTCAGCCTCCCAAGTGCTGGAATTATAGGCATACAGCACCACACCAGGCATAAGCGGGGTGTTTTTGGGGGGCGACATGGGCCCCGATATCACCTGTGGGGTGCAGGGCGCTGGCCCCTCTTGGCCTCCCCTCTTCTGACTCCACGAAAGGATATTACTGGTGCAGGGCCTGCAGGAATTTCTCCGTTGGGAGGAAGAGGGAGTGTGTGAGGACAATGTCATCCAGCAGGATATCTGTGGAGATCGGTGGGTGCCACAGATGTCGGGGGCCACCCCGTGCCCCTTTCTTGCCACCAAGGATGAGTCCTCTTCAGCCAGCCCGGAGCCGCAGCCACTTGCCCCGTCCTGCTCTGCACACACGTGTGCGCACACAGGCGCGAGGGTGAAGGTTCCGGGCAGCCGCTCCGGGGGTGGGGCCGGCAGCTGCCAAGGCAGCTGGGGAAGGGGGCGCCTTTGATGGCCACAAACTTTCCCCTTCAGTATGGTGGGAGCTGGGCACCACCCCCCAAACAGGGAAGGAGCCCCCGGAGGGTCTCCAGACTCCCTCCCCTCCCCACTCCCTCCTTCCCAGCCGGGCCTTCTGATCAGGCAGGGCAGGTGGGAACCGGCCCCAGCAAAGGGAGGGAGTGACTGCCATCTCTTTGATCTCAGAGCCTGAGCTGGGAGCCCCGGTCCTCTGTGTACCCGGAGATGCAAGGGTTAACGACGGCAGGTGGCGGGAGGGGCTCTCCTCACCTCCCTTCCCCCTCCACACCCCTGTCTGGCCTGGCCCAGCCAGTTGGCCAGGTACAAGGTCGCCCTGACTTGCAGCCAGCCCCGGGGTGGGGCAGGGCCGCCTGGCACTCGCAGGCAGGCAGGGCACAGGGAAGGAGCCAGGTGTCCTTGCCAGGACAGGTTAGGGCCCGGTCCCCAGGCGCTGCTCCAGACAGAACCCGGGCTCCTGCCACCGAATGGCCAACCAATTCTAGCCATGAAGGTGGAGACGGAGCGCCCACCGACGATCACCTGCCTCAACTATCCCATGTCGAGGGACACACTGAGGCCTGGAGTTGGAAGAACCCAGACCCCCGAGTCTGTTCCCTCAGCGTGCCGAGGCAAGCAGAGGGTCGGAGCTAGGGGGTCGCCTGGACATCCGGGAGACTCCGCCTTCTGGAAGTCCCTCTTCCTACACACCCCACAAGGGAGCCAACAGAACACGGGCTCCCCTGGAACTGTCAGAGCGGCGATGCCCTTCTTTCCTCTGAGACGGGACCGGGGTTAACAGACCAGTTACTTGGGGATTTCAGCTCCTAGGGCTGATGATAAGGGTGAGATGATCAAAACAGGAGTCTTCTATTTTCCCAGGGCACCCTGAGAACCCGTGGCAGCAGGTCTTAAGGGCAAGGAAGACAGGTCCCACCCCTCTGTGCCCGGGACAGCCCCCAGCCCCTCAGAGCAGCGAGGAGCGCAGCCCCCTTCCCCGCCCGCTCCCGCATACAGGGGTGGGAGAGCGCCGGCAGGGCAAGGAAGGAGGCATGAAGGGCAGCGTGCGGGAGACGCTATATGGGGGCTACGGTGTGGCGTCCGTCTCTTCCAAAGCAGGCTTTGGTCCAAGGCGCAGCCTCCCCAGGGAATGTGTCATAGAGACAGAGGGTGTGTGGTGTGGGCGGGAAGTTATGGTTAGCAGAGCTGTGTGTGTCTGATATTTTTCTAATTAAATCCGAAAGGTGTCAGCTCTCCAGGGCAACTACAGCCTCCGCCAGAGGCGAGGACCCAGACTTTCCCTGGGAAAAAGCTTGGGGAGTGGTGCTCCACCCCAAGCACCTAAACCGGGGCTCCACACAGAGGGCTAAGAGCAGAGGCTGAAACCCCTCATCATCAGGGTCTCAGCGGGGGCCTCCCAAGCTCAGAGCACCCTTGGTTAGTGGAATGCCTTGAACTAGACCCAGCGACCCTCGCATCCTCTACCTTAGCATTTTGGGGTCTCGGTTTCCTTACAGCCCCCTTAGCAGGGTGCTGAGGGAGGGGAGAAATAGCGTTGTTTAGGGAAAACACCTCTCAGGGTAGGGTTTTTACTTTGTAAACGGGTCAGGTGCTGAGGCTGCCCACCTGGAGGGAGAGATGGAAAGGCTCAGACGCCCCTGCCAATGCTGGGGTCCTGATGCTGGCCCCCCTTCCTCACAGCGCCTTCAGAGTCCACCCCAAGGAGAACACCCTCGCCCACCCATGGACGGCTCATCCCTTCGCCTGGGCCCTGGGCCTCTCCCTGCTGTCCCCCAGGCGGCCTGGCCTGGGCCCTGGGCCTCCACACACCCGGGGCTCGAGTCAGGCCGTCGGCCTTGAGCTCGGCTGAGGGTGGCATGGGCTGGTTTGCACACTTCCATCTTAGCGTGTCGGGGCCTGATGTCGGGGCACTGGCATTACAGACTCACTGGGGACCGGGGACCGTGGCTGACATCCACCGGGGAGCTAGGGCGGCTAAAGGAGCGGGCCGAAGGCTGTTTCCTCCTTGGAGGGATGGTGGGCACTGTCGCCTCTCCCCTGGGGGTCTGTGGCCCTGCTCAGACTCTACCTCTCCGGGAACCCCTCGGCCCCACCCCAGGCTCCAGCACTGGCGCCACCCCCTTCTCCAAGGGCATGAAGGGGAGCCAGGGCCCTGATCTGCTCAGCGGACCCCTTACCTGAGGCGCCGCTGTCCCTGGTGGCCCCGCCGGCCAGGCGCTCCAGGACGCGGTCCAGAAGGTGCTCGGGCCGCTCGGGGGCGCCCAGGGGCGCCCAGGGCGGCGGAGTCAGGGGCTCCCCGGGGGACAGCTCGTCGGAGGAGTAGGAGGACGGGGAGCGCAGGGGCCCGGGC